AATGTGTCAAATTATCACTAAAAAATGATTCCACGCAAACATACAAACACAAAACCAACACACATGCACACAGATATATATATATATATATATATATATATATATATATATATATATATATATATATATATATATATATATTTAAAATGGTTGTGAATGAGTAAAACTGTTGTTGGTATGACATATTACAATTTTAACATATAAGGCGTCAAACGACACTTTATTTTGGGGCTCCACAGTGTAGGGCATAGTTTATAAGCCCATTTTTTCCTCCAACCGACGCCATTTTTCACTTCTAACACAGCAGCAAAGTTTGCCTTGTTCGACGTGTACCACTGTTTCCCTTGACCTAGTCACCCTGGCTCTATACATATGACATTTCAGCATATTCCCTATACTGTAAGGGCTGATTTTAGGTTGGTGCGTACTACATTACGTGACAACCTCGCCATGTCGTAAGATTCACCGCTGCGTTCTGCCTTTCAACATACGGTTGATCAATTCGTTTTACTTTCCCATTCCCAAGTTTTTACAACAAAGTTTGTGTTCGAAAAACAATGGACGACAATAAATATAGCTTTGTATTTGTTTATAATCAGAGTGTGTCTATGTTTTTTTTTATTTATTCATTATTTACAAGTTAAACATTCCACTAACGTAAACCTAAATTACCATCATGTGTTTGGAGATGTTTTAATTAGTTTTTGTTAGAATAATATATATATATATATATATATATATATATATATATATATATATATATATATATACATACAGGGGCGTAGCGAGTGGGGGTGCGGGGGGTGCGGACCGCACCGGGTGACAGCATTTAGGGGGGTGACACCAAGGCAAAAAATAGCAAAATATATAGAGAAAAACTTGAGGGGGTGCAAATCGAAAGTTTGAAAGGGGGGGGGGGGGTGCAAATCGAAAACTTGAGGGGCGGGGGTGCAAATCGAAAACTTGAAAGTTTGTCCCCGGGAAGGGTCGCAACGCCTCTGGGGGGGGGGGGGGGGGTGACACCAATTAAGTGCCGCACCGGGTGACACCCGACCTCGCTACGCCACTGTATATATATATATATATATATATATATATATATATATATATATATATATATATATATATATATATATACATATATATATATATATATATATATATATATATATATATATATATATATATATATATATTGCAACGACTATAAGAGACAGTAAACTTGTTGTTGATATAACACACTCAATGCTGAAACATTAGACAAATATCGAAACGACCCTTTTATTTAGGGAGGATAGGGTTAAAATCCCCTTTTCCCTCGGATATCTCCGCTGCTAAGCTCTGTTTAAACACCACAGCAGGTGTGTGATTTCAAGATTATTTTCCTTGACCTAGTCACCCTTGGCTCTATATCTATGACAATGCGTATCGGTCGATCTAAGACTACTGTGTCATACATCAAGCGGAGATTTCGGTGAATTCACTAGTGCGTGCAGCCAGCTTTCGACAAACGATTGATGATCGATTAGGTTTACCTTTTAATACCTACATTATTATAACCTTTTTGATGATTGAGAAGCAATTGACAGCCAGAAATGTATCATATATATATATATATATATATATATATATATATATATATATATATATATATATATATATATATATATATAAATCAGAGTGGATCTATAATTAAAGATCTTTGTTGAATTGTTTGTTTTTTATTTGAATTAAAATTTTTGTTTAAATCACCATTGAGATGAACATCGAAAATAGTCAAGTGGATTCTACGCTGTTTTTTATTTGTCGTCTTAACACATAAAGTTAAAAGACAGACTTAAGAATCAAGTCATTTCTAACCTCAGCAGATGTTGGAATGTCTGTATGTATGTACGTTAGTTTGTTTGTGTGTGTGAACTCGATACATTGTTAACCACTTTGGTTAGATGGATAAATTTTCATAAATGAGTATAAGGTTTCTTCAAAAGGTAGACACAGTTCTGGAAGCTTGAAGTAATAGTTGCTGTGTTTCTTTGGTGAAATCTCCATGACATCCTCCTTGCCAAGCCCCGGTTAAATTCACTTCTAACACAGCAGCAAAGCTTGCCAGATGTGACCAACAACGATTATTTCCCTTGACCCAGTAACCTTTGGTTCTATGTATGACAGTTTGGGCATTCCTTATACTGTATGGTTCGATCTTAGGTTGGTTAGTCTCCGCTCTTGAATAGTATCAGAGGCAAAACGTGTATAAGTCTAATGGATGAGGCTATTTTTTGTTGCTGTACACTCAGCATTACATCGAAAACAGCAGCAAATTTTAAAAAAAAACGTTGTCGACACTGCAGCAACGCTGACTTAAAATACACCTTTACTTTCTTAATTTCGCTAAAGCAAAAACTTCTCCATTTGTGTACGAATTGTAACTATTTATAAACGTTGCCCTCTTCGTTTATATTAATTCGAAAGCTTTATTCCTGTAAACCCATAAAACTAGTTGCGCGTTGTACTGTGTGGTTGAGATAGTCGCAGGTTTGTTTCATATTGTGTGATATTTCAAAAAACCAAAAGTAATCAATTCATTTTATTGCTAGACATCAAGCGACGTGACAGTTTGTACATTGGGGCTCCACGGGGATGGGATACAAGCCCTCCTCCCTCCACTACCACCACCACTGTTAAATTCACGTCTAAAACAGCAGCAGAGCTAGCCAGATATGTGACGTGTACCAGTTTCCCTTGACCCAGTCAACCATGTTTACGTATGAGTGACAGTTGATTTTATTACCTAAGGGTTGATTTTAGGTTTGTGTGTCATACGTCACGTGTTTTCGTTATGTTCACTGATGCGTGAAGCTTGTGTCATACGAATAATCTATGACTGATTTTTTAATAGACATCTGAATAGATGAAACGATACATTTAAGCTCCACTGCTGAAATACACGCGCAAGAAAAGGCTTGAGCTATAGTTTCTAATTATACCATCTAGAGCTTACCTAAACTTAAAACAAAGAAAAGAAAAATATATTTTTCAAACGTCAAATGTTATTGGTTAAAATATTAGTTTCGCTAAAAATAGAACGCCATGCTTTTGTTTTAACTTTGAGTGATCAATACAATGAACATTTTATTGTCGCCTCACCAGTTTCAGATCAATTCGCATCTTGCAGTTAGTTGTATAACTGTCTGTGTAGTCCACACTGACCCAAATACAGAGGGTTTATGTTGTTTAAAGATCGATTCGTATCTTGTGTAAAAAGTTATCCATTAATAAAGTATTCATCATCAGATTTTTTTGTTGTTGTGCTTAAAACCCATGGGACTGCAACAAGAAGCACCCTCCACTTTTGTCGGTCACCCCCTTGCAGTCCTCCATTACAGTCCTGTCTCTGTCAGTTGCTTCTTCGCCGTGCACGTCCAAGTCTTCATTGGCCTTTTTTTTCTTTTTTGTTGAGGCGTTTATTTTGGTGCTATTTCATTTAAAAGGCAGAAAATAGAATATATGTAAACAAATCTATAAATAGTAATAAAGCTTTTTAATGCACTGTACATAAAATTAATTAAACTAGCATTTATCACTAAATGCATTGATAGCTCATAAAATATGTAACAAAGTTTAGCTTATTTCTGAAAATCGTCGGCGGTGCAGTCGCCTCGTTCTGTTTTGTTTAGTTTGTTTTCATAATCATTGTATTATATAAATATGTGTTTCAATGTTTTGTAGGTTATAACGAGTTGGTAGTCGGCACAAACGATACACCTGGCGTCTGGCACCACAGCAGGTGCTGGTACCGAGGGTATCCGGCGAGTGAGTTGCAGAGTTTTTATTCAGGAGTCCCCGAAAAACGTCCACCACCCCCCCAGAACGAAATAGAATAGATATTGAAAATGTATACCTTTACCTGTGTCCGCCCCCCTCCCACGGAAAATTTAGTACCCCCCCCCACATTCTCCGACCGAAAATTTAAAGTGCCCCGTCCTCATTGGAGAAAATTGTCAGAAAGAAACACCGGTGGGTTAGTTGCGGACACAAACGATACACCTGACGACTAGCTATGATAAACTTTCTATGTTGAAGAGGTGATCGCCAACATTGTGTTTGTTTCCGAGAGTGTAGCAGATAATGTCTTTAGTTTTAGATTGGCGTCGTTATGTAACGCGTGTTTCCTGGAGGTTTGATTGAGAGTTAAGATAATCAGTAACTTAAGTCCTGGCCCTGTCGACATCTTTGAACACATTTTATACATAACACGGGTGCGATGTGACACCGATGACCTTGACCGACAACTAGAGCATCTCTTGTGTTGTTGGTCACATTGACCAGTCACTGCTGGAATCCGAGCCACTCCCAATCTTCAAGCTGCATGCCGCCTGCAACAGGTTAATACGTCTATTCTTGCTAGTGTCGTACTAAGAAGAGCGGACATTAATGCAACGTCGATGACCTTTTCATGAACTGAAGATTGAAACAGGAAAATTTTTAAAAAGTAAAGTACATTTTCACCAAGATTTTAAGAGATACAAAACAATAGGTACATCGATTTTCCTTGATTAGCTCAAACTGTTCTGTTTCTAGTTCTTACGTGAATCACGATTTTTTTTTAAAATATCACTTATGCTTAATTGATAGTCAAACATATTTTCGTAGATGACCACCACCAATTATATATGCCAAAAGATACAAGTTTGTATATATATATATATATATATATATATATATATATATATATATATATATATATATATATATATATGTTTATGTATGTATGTATGTATAAGTCGATTGTAACTGAAAGGTGTAGGTCAACTTCTAACGGTTCAATCATGTCTATACATCGTTGTTTATAAGACTGTAGTAAATCATGTAATACGGCAAAAGTTTAGCTTGTGTTGTCTAGCAGGTGTTGTTCTCTCAGATCATTTCTTATCTGTAGAAATTTGTGAAGGCTGACATACAACAGTTGAACTAGCGCTACAGCATTCAATGTAACAGAAAAGTCGACCTGGTTGAATTAAGGGAGGTGACTCTCACGGCAAGGGAGATAATTGACACAAACATTTACGTGAACAAGCACTGATTGTATTTCATCATGTGACCTAATTAGGTATGACGTAAGCTATCATTTATAGTTATCTATACTTATTTTTAAGTCTTTATACGCCGTTTATTACCTTCTCCTATATGGTTAAAATTTGTCAGCCAAAAAATGTCATTATTTTTTAAAATATATGATTTATTTTTATAAACCGGCAAAGTAAATTGCTAAATATTTAGATATGTTTAAATAACGTCTATTTACAAAACAACATATTTTATCCCCTCCATTTTAAACAGCTCCTTCCTATTGTACATCTTTACGCAACATCTCCGTAAGCCAGAAACTCATTTTTATAGCTTAAAAATAAATTAAAAAATTAAAATACATACTAATAAAGAACCGGAAGTAAGGTGAACATTGCATCAATGTCTAATCTTAGATAGATAAGGCTTAATTAAGAAATTTAGCATTCGATTTCAGAATACATAATTCTATTTAAATAATTACAGATAAACACTGCTGGTAAGTAATTTCGGAGCTGACGTTGATTAAGGAATTGTTTTAATCTATGAAAGCTTCTTTTGCGAGTGCAAATTTAATGCAAAGCTAGGTTTTATCTTTTGTAATAATTTTGAATGAGCAAATACAAATAAAAGTAATTTACAATTTTAAAAAATTGTATGTAAGATACTTAAATTAATCCCTCTTTTATTTATTCACATTCCTTTTTTTAACATGCACTAGCCTGAAGAGCTTACATTTTAAGTTATTCTAATACTAAACTTACGAATCAACTGCCATTCCTCAGAATATATAGATTTTTAGACCGTCATAGTAAACAATTGCAAAGTGTAACATTGACTTCAAAGGAAAGAAAACAATACAAATGTAAGAAAGTGATACAGAATGTTCCACACAAACTATAACTCAATATCTACCATAAAAATAAAAGCTATCGATAACTAATTATAATGTTAAATGATATAAAAAGAATTGCTAATAATATTAAACCTTTAAAGTCTGAAGAATTCCATAAATAAGCGTAATACTAAAAAAATATTTTTTACCGAAATGTTACATACTTTACCTTGGTCAAGGACCTTATCCACCTGTACATCTTCCCTGTAATCCCCCCCCCCCAACCTATTACCTCATCTCTATTACCACCTTGCGCACTTACCCACTCTCGAGTACATATTATACCAATACCTATCCCTGTCTTACCCCACGTCATGTATAGGTTCCTAAACCTGTACCTAATCAAAATCAAACCCCTCTCCATGACATTCACCTTATCTCTATTAACTATTATTTCATATCCGTAGCATTACAACTACATCATATGTTCTACCATTATATATATATATATATATATATATATATATATATATATATATATATATATATATATATATATATATATATATATATATATATATATATATATATATGAAGCAATATCTTTTGTGCATTTTTTTTAGCAATGTATGCTTCACATTGATAGTAGTCATTTCTGTTTTTGTTAAAAAACAACTGAAAGATTAACAAGAGTTGTGTTTCTTACAGCTGAGGTAATCTGTGTTTACTGTATGTAACTGAAGATGGATGTAAAAATTACAAAGTTAACCTTATCTTTGCTTCAAGCGTGTATTTCACATATTGTGTTCTGCGTCATTTACGTAAGCGCCCAAGTAAGTGGGTCATTCATTATCTAATAAACGCTCCGCACATTTCCTTGTCAAAATATTTAACCTCAATTTTTACTTGAATAAAACAATGATTTTTTTTTCATGTCGAGTATTCCGCAAACATATTATAAAATCATATATTTGATTTATTTAGAGAATGGTTATAATCAAGATGTCATGTGCATGTCATCGTCATGTTTTCATAGTGTTTCATGTACTTGCAATCTATATGTCGTCTAAATGACATTAACTTCGTCTTAATAGTCATTATGTCCTATGCACGGCTTTAAATCTTTCTGTCTTCTACATAGTGTTTTGTATATGTATATTAAAGTGATGTATGCACGATATAAGGTCTTCGTATAATGGTAGCATTCATATTCTAAGTGTTGTAGTTATATTAATAAACCGCTTGCCAGTGTGAAAAAAAAGTTTTAGTTAGATTTTTTACTAAAACATAAATTTAGTTTTTATAAATGTATTTCATTTCTTTTTTTAAATTAAATTTAAGCGTATTTTACTTGCATTTCCCGTGAAAATTTTAAATTGTTTTTTTTTGCTACATTAGCTAACAGTCTTTAATATTCAAGAATTAACTTAATATTTCGACGCTTGAATACGACAACTGTTAAGGCTTCTTTTGTCAATATGTACATTCTCTATTGCAGAGTTCGACTGCGCGGATCGAAGCTGAGGAAATGCAATTCTCTACACGTCGTATGAGCAGGTTAGTTTGATTACATTTATTTAGTTAGGCCTACTAGTTTGACTCGTACATGGTACAATAGCTTCAGGTGTCCGATCTAATAAACTGTATACAAACAGACATATATATATATATATATATATATATATATATATATATATATATATATATATATATATATATATATATATATATATATATATATATATGTATATATATATAGGGACTATATAAATATTACATTTCCGTCAAGGTTTGTTATAGTGGCACGTTTCGACGTCCACAATTTGTAATGTAGTGCTAATGTATATTTGTATATTAAGTTTATTGTATTTCAAAAGTATAACACTGTAGGGTTGATGTATATTAGCCGTATGTGACAAGTATAACACTGTAGTACTATTATCCATTAGCCGCATATGATAAATACAACAACGTTAACAACATCACATATCCCACACACCTTATAGACCAAACGCCCCATTTGTGGCTGACTGGGTGAACCATATGGGCGATGATCATGTCAGGAGGAGCACGTACAACATCACAGACAAGAACTGGCCACACGACATACCGTACGTCATTGAATCATCATACACAGGTTAGTTAAACAAGCATCATCGTGTTCCGTTTGTGTCCAAAACACATGGAGCCGACACAGAAAGCTCGCTCCACTTGTGTCGGTTTAAAGTAATGTTTATGGGAGTCCACCATAACAGTTCTGCCTCTTTCAGCTGCTTATAATTAGACACAATGAGGAAATTGCGATTAAAAAAAGAAACTCACAGCTATCTATACAAAACTTGTGTATAGTAGGCAGAGGCGTAGCGACCCTTCCCGGCGCCCGGGAACAAACTTTCGATTTGCACCCCCTCCCCTCAAAATTTCGATTTGCACCCCCCCCCCTTAAACTTTCGATTTGCACCCCCCTCAAGCTTTCATTTTTATTTTTCCAATCCATTTTGGCGCCCCCTAATGTTGGCGCCCGGGGACATATGTCCTCCCCCCCCCCCCCGCCACTCGCTACGCTACTGATAGTAGGAGATGGAAAAGATGGTTACATTGACCTTGTATAGAATAATTGTCAACTTACGAGTACGTGCAACCTAATTAGATTGTTGGATGCAGATTGCTTTGTTTATTCTCTTGTATGGATTTGAACCCCAGGCGACAGGGTGTCACTTCGTTTGGTGATGGACTACATTTCAAGTCGCGTGTGTGTCATGTTCCATGACGTGGCAGCCACGTACAACAAGTCGGACTCCCATTGGCTGACCAATCACGGCTTTAAGACCAATTCTTACGTCAGCATTAGGGATGGAAACGGGTAAGATATGAAATGGTCTGTTCGATGACTGCATAGTTAAAATTGGGGCAGTACAAATATACTTGGCTCTAAAATTAAACACGTATATATATATATGTAAATCTATATATATATATACATATATATATATATATATATATATATATATATATATATATATATATATATATATATATATATATATATATATATATATATATATATATATATATATATATATATATATATATATATATATATATATATATATATATATATATATATATATATATATATATTATCGTCCTTGTTGAAACAACTCAGGTGCTCAGCCTCACAAGGCCAAGATAAGTATCCAGGTGCTCAGCCTGTCTACCCTTGTAATGGTTTTGTGAGTGTTTTTTATTCCACATGTTATGTTACATCCAGTAAAACCTATGCTACTACTTCTATGTTAGGTTTAGGGTTGGGTTCAGAGGTTGAGTTAACTATTCTGTACTCACCAGGGCATCAACCTGCACGAGATGCTGCACGTGCTTGGCGTCATCCACACCCACCAGGGGCGGATCCGTGACTCGTACATGTCTATCAATGAGGCGGATATCAAACCCGGTATGTTGTTAAATCACGCACCGTGTTTTGTTTCAAGGTTTCCGAGGCAACGAGTAGTTAAACTTTCAATCATGATGTTCAGTACTTTAAAACATACACATTATATATTCATAAACATCATTCTTCTTCTTCTTCGTTCTCAATTTTAATTTTGGAAGCGATCCCATCCAACACAATTAAGTATACGTGTCAACTGGTTATATAGATTATATGTATACTCACAATTTCCTTCAGCATCGTAGTAGCAAATAAAATATATTGTTGTTATCGACAGAGCTGGCGTACTCATACAGAAAAATAACCGTGAACAGTTTAGTCAACAACATCTTTGATCCCACCTCTACTATGATGTATAGCTCAGATGTAAGTCTTGTTTACAGTCCTTTAATCACTAACGCAAGTATAAACAACCTATGTCACACGTATTAATAAAGTAATTGTTTTATGAACATGTAATTGTTTGTGTTATGTAAGAAATTGTTTTACATCTCTTTTACATATTATATTTTAAAGTTGAAAAAAAATTTCTGACTGTTGCTACCGCCTAGCAAAAGTACTTATCTTATCAATACTGTTAACTGACTGGACTCAATTTAACTGTCAAAATATGTACTGGATACAGGTTATGTAATTTTTCCAGTTATGTCAGCTGTTTCGTGTTGGATATACTTTGTGCCAGTGCTCAAAATATCGTAATATTTGCCAGCAGAATTTGATGAATATTTGCAGCCTACTAACAATAATTGCTCCGTGTATCATATGTTGCCATCTAAACAGTCTCTTCACTCATACTTTATCAACTGACCAGTAGCCCATATATTATCTTTTGTCAGATGTGTATTATATTATGAAATGACCACAGTCCCGTGTAAGTTATGTTATGAAATGACCACTGTCTAGTGCATAATATGTGGTCAGTTAAACCAAAACCTTGACTTAAGTATCAACTGACCAGTACCATACCTCCTCTACTCTCCACAGTAATGTGGTCAGTTAACCAAAAACCTTGACTTAAATATCAACTGTCAAGTTTCCATTCGTGTCCTACTCTTAACAGACCTGGAGTCTGGACGGCCTTGAGACCTACACCCCAATAAGAGACGATTTTTTCCACACGTCTTTAGAATTCTCTGAAGAGCATGTCGTTTTCCTGGAGTTAAATTCTATTTACCGATGTAACGGTAGGAAATAAAACATCTTATTTCGGCAGTCAATTTATATTTATTAATGTAAAGGTAGATTAAAAAGTTAATTGTGTATCATCTAAAGCTAATTTTTCTTAAACACTGCATTCTAGTTTAGCCCATCCCAAATTGTTATCATACAAAAATTTTTAAACAGAGAAATTGTGATTTTTCTAGATTTGTTCTTGATGATTTATACTACAATTAACATATTTTGTTTTATTCTTCCCGTAGAACTATTCTGCAACAACGACCAGACGGACTGTGGCCCAGGCTACCACACGTTGATCAATGGACGGTGTCGCTGTGTCTGTCCGGATGAGTTGGATTACAACACCAATTGTAGGACACACATTGATGGACGTGAGTTACGACTGATTCATACCATTATAATTGAAGTTATCAAACACCACGTTTGTGCATCATAATGTGATCGCCATGTATACTTATTCGTGTACTATGTGTGTTCAACATTTACAATTATAATATCTAATTATTTTGCATCTATACAAGCCAACGATGACATTTACTTATATACATTATGATTTTTGTTTTTTCTTAAAAGAGTATACAAAATATTTGAAAATTGTTACATCAAAAAGTTACCGCCCCTGTTCATAGACCAAATTACCAAATCTCGTATAATGAGAATTTCAATCGCAGTCATTTTTAGCCCTCTTCGAGGGCTTTGATGCTGACCAACAGTTTTTCCATACGGCCCAGTCAACTATAGAGGTGTATGCAAAAAATTAGCCAGTTATACAAAGAGTTAGTACCCTAAAATTTGTGTAGAAATTACCCTGTTTTTTTCCCCATAAAATACAAAGATTATATAGGGAAATACGACTGGTCAGTTTTGACCCATTTAACGAATTTTCCCGGACATGGCGAGTTTTTTTATGACACCCCAAGGCGTTCTCCTACCACCTCACAAAATATCAAGGGGGGTCGGCGGAGGAAATTATTTTTCGTAATAGAGGTCATATAAAGAGAATTTCACTCGCGGTCACTTTTTAGTCCTCGTCGAGGGCTTTGATTGAAACCGATAGGTCTGCCCTACGGCCAAGCCATTTACCTATAAGCATGCCAAAACTTAGCCAGATGTAACGAGGGTAAGTGCCCTAAAATCCGTTTTGAAATGACCCTCTGTTTTCCCCATAAAATACAAAGATTATATAGGGAAATACAGCTGGTCAGTTTTGACCCTTTTACGAAGTTTTCCCAGATATGCCGAGTTTTTTGTGACACCCCTAGGCATTCTTCTACCACCTCACAAATATCAAGGGGGGTCGTCGGAGGAATTTTTTTTTCGTAATAGAGCTCATATTTAGAGAATTTCACTTGCGGTCACTTTTTAGCCCTCGTCGACGGCTTTGAGTGAAACCGTCAGTTTTCCCTAAAGGTCAAGCCATTGACCAAAGAGTGTGCAAAAAATTAGCCAGATATACTAAGTTTAAGTACCCTAGAGTCTGCGTTGAAATGATCCTCTGTTTTTCCCATAAAATAGCAAGATTATATAGGGAAATACAACTGGTCAGTTTTGACCCCTTTACGAAGTTTTCCCAGATATGCCGAGTTTTTTGTGACACCCCTAGGCATTCTTCTACCACCTCACAAAATATCAAGGGGGGTCGTCGGAGGAATTTTTTTTTCGTAATAGAGCTCATATAAAGAGAATTTCACTCGCGGTTACTTTTTAGCCCTCGTCGAGGGCTTTGAGTGAAACCGACAGGTCTGCCCTACGGCCAAGCCATTTACCTATAAGCATGCCAAAAATTAGCTAGATGTAAAGAGGGGTTAGTGCCCTAAAATCCGTTAAATTACCCTCTGTTTTTCCCATAAAATACAAATATTATATAGGTAAATACAACTGGTCAGTTTTGACCCCTTTACGAAGTTTTCCCAGATATGCCGAGTTTTTTGTGACACCCCAAGGCGTTCTCCTAACACCTCACAAAATTTCAAGGGGGGGTCGACGGAAGAATTTTTTTTTCGTAATAAAGCCCATATAAGGCGCCGGTCAGTCGAGGTCAGTTTTGACCCCCTCTCCGTAGACTTTTCGGCCAACCGTCACCGGCCCTCGTATTCAATCGCCCCAAGGCATCGTGCCAAATTTGACGCGCCTGCGGCGCCGGTAAGTGCCCTATCGGGCACCTGACCACTTTGCTTTATATATATAGATATCATTTTATAATATTTAATATCATTAACTTCATGTATACTTATAAGCAGTTGCGTCGTTAGGTAGGGGGTCACTCGGTGCGGCACCCAATGGTGTCACCCCTCCCAAGAAAAAAATCTATATTTTATAACCATATATATATATATATATATATATATATATATATATATATATATATATATATATATAAATATATATACCCTCTAACGATCATCATCTATAGTCGGTTACATATACAACAGGATGTAGTGTTGCTTTCTATATCTTTTGCAGGTTTACACCATGGTGTTAACTCTCCCCCTCCCCACACACACACTTTTGATTGGAATGATCATTTTTGTCTATATATATGTAGCTATTTTTGCCGTTACCCCCTAAATGGTGTCATCTGGTGCGGTCCGTAACCACGCCCCCCCCCCCTCTCGCGACTCCTCTGCGTTAAAAATTCTATGGTCTTCATTTACATCAAAAAACTCATAATCAGCTAATCCCAATTACATCTATATTTTTTTTTTGGTATCGTGTTTTATAAAATAAAAATGTACGCTCTTAACCTCTAAAAATTTGTATATGTCATTTTCAGCGGCAAAGGATATATCTTGGCCTGACACCCAAATCATTATCTACGGAAATACGTCTTGCCCGTCTGGATTTGAACCCACGCCAGCAATGCTGCCGTTATCTGGCAACCTGGGCGCCTACCAGGAAGATACACCTGAACGGTACCACGTGACCAACAAGACCCTGTACCTCCCTCTGTGTAAAAAGTCGAGCCCGGCTAACCCTGGAGACGTCAACTGGAAGACCTGGCCCCTAGGGGGGCAGTTCTGCTTCGTCAGACCCCTGGGGCAGCCGTGTGGGGGAGGTAACTCTCAACTTTTTATTTGGCCGCTGTGTTGGAAGGGGTGTGTGCTGCAATGGGGTAAGGGATAGTTCTGATTTGTCCAGCCTTAAATCAGGGGGCGGGGGAAACTCTACATTTTCAGCCTAATTCCAGAGATGGTGAAGGGGACTGTACTGCTTTGGCTAGCCATGATTCAGCATTGTGGAGGAGGTAGCTCTACATTTTCAACCTAGTTAAATAGATGGAGTAGGGACAGTACTGCTTTCTCAAGCCATCAATCAGCATTGTGTGAGGGAGATAACTCTACACATTTAGCCTTAAAGTAGAAACAGCATTGTCTTTTAAAGATTTTTTTACAATACTGCCTTTTCAATACGATGGGTTGCAAAGTAGGGAAAGTAATTCAACTTTTTTTTATTTGACTGCTGGGATGGGATTTATGAAAAAGAGGGTGCAGAGAGATAGGGAGAGAGAGAGAGAGAGAGGGTGAGAGAGAGAGAGAGAGAAAGAGCTCTTTCGTAAAAATACACACCTTTTTCTAATGTTAAATGATGAAAATTTGCTGCAAAATTCAAAATAATTAAGTGCGATAAGATTAGCAATATTAAATCTTGAAGAATAAAATAGCACCAATAGCATAAATAGTCTATGTCTAACAGTACAGTCTAATAAAAGTCTAATAAATAGTTTTTAAAAAATTGATACATTTCTTTGCAGCTATAACCTATCAATAAAGTCACTTACTGTTGTTGAAAGAGTATATTAATAAATGATATACACAACATCTTCAACCGGAATGCTAATACTTCAATAAATAATTGAAAAACGTTTCATTTTAATCACCTTATATTACACTTCAAAATATTTCATAAGTGTATATATCAGACCTAACACGAATGTTGCGTTTTTTCTGTTAGTGATTTAATATGGTATGTATTTTGTCTTTCTATGAATATATGTTTTTGTAAAATATACTAAGAAAATGTTTTCTAAGTAGCATGGAGTACGAAAATGTGTCTTTGTGTAACACTTTACATGAAAATGTATTTCTGTGTAAATGAATTATGAAAAGGTGTTGTTGATTTTTGTAACATGTATTGTAAGATGTGATTTTGTGTAACAAGTATTATGAAAATATGTTTTTCGTGTAACAGGTATTATGAATATGTGTTTTTGTGTAAATGTTTTATGAAAATGTGTTTTAAACTTGCAGTTTTTGAAGAAGGGGGGATAGAATTTCAGACCCTCAACGAGACCCACCCATCTGGAGACATTGGCAACATCAGCATCAGCGGTAGGATGGTGACCATCAACTACTGCTGCAAGAACAAGGAGCATCACGGACTAGTCATGGACCTGCCCAACGCTGAGCCGTTTAAACTGATAGCCAAATCTATGCATTGTCCGAAAGTTAGAGGTATGGGACTATGGTACCCATAAACTGATAGCCAAATCAATGCATTGTCCGAAAGTTAGAGGTATGGGACCAATAAATTGATAGTCAAATCTATGCATTGTCCGAAAGTTAGAGGTATGGGACCAATAAACTGATAGCCAAATCTATCCATTGTCCGAAATTTAGAGGTATGGGACCAATAAACTGATAGCCAAATCTATCCATTGTCCGAAATTTAGAGGTATGGGACCAATAAACTGATAGCCAAATCTATGCATTGTCCGAAAGTTAAAGGTATATGACCCATAAACTAATAGCAAAATCTATACATTGTCCGCATGTTATAGATATGGGAACCACGTAGTTTCTCAGTACTTTTGTTATTAGCTATAATAATCTTAGGATTATCGTATTGCATACTATTGATAGAATTTTTTTTAATTCTGAAGAATCACTTGATAATCTACTATTTTTCTAAAAATGGTATTCAAATAATATAATTGTAATATCGTTCTGATGAATGTGAATAATCTGTAATCTCTCCTGAACCAGGTATGAAGAGCACCAATTCAAGGCTGACCTTCTGGACAAATTCTTCTCGAAACTTTGGGCCTCTGCCACCTTTGAGTTATTTCTACCCCAATTCTTTTTTACACTACCAGTGTTACTTACAACCACCCATATATGGTAAGTATATTTGATCTCTACTTTACTTATGTTACTTACAACCACCCATATATGGTAAGTATATTTGATCTCTACTTTACTTATGTTACTTACAACCACCCCTATATGGTAGGTACAATTTATTTTCAAATTGACTTGTGCTACTTACAACCACCCCTATATGGTAAGTACCATTTATTTTCAAATTGACTTGTGCTACTTACAACCACCCCTATATGGTAAGTACAATTTATTTTCAAATTGACTTGTGCTACTTACAACCACCCCTATATGGTAAGTACAATTTATTTTCAAATTGACTTGTGCTACTTACAACCACCCCTATATGGTAAGTACAATTTATTTTCAAATTGACTTGTGCTACTTACAACCACTCCTATAGAGTAAGTACATTTTCTTTTCAAATTGACTTGTGCTACTTTCATCGAACCACTATAAGGTAACATTTATTTTCTTACTTGCTTGCGCTACTCTCAACCGCTATGTATGTTGATTACTATTCTCCTTTCTATAACAGTAGTGGTATTTTCACCTACCAGTATACAGGATGTAGACTACTGACCAAATGACCCGAATTATAACAACACTAGCCTGCTTGTTTCTAGAACATAGAATTCGTTTAACACGGGCAAGGCTATTATTTTCAGCTGGGAGGTGTCAGCCAATCATTGAAAAGTTTAGATATGTTTTGGGTATGCTGAAAAGAAAGTTTGAGTCTGGAAGAGACCCATGTCCTATATTCTTCCTTTCACCTAGTTGACCCCACTCAAGACAGGAGCTTCATCATCATTCCTTTGTGGCCCCTGGGGAGCAAAGGGCTGCAACCACACATCTCCAGCGGACTCGGTTTTGGGCTGCTCCCTTTATCTGTGCCCATGTGAGACCAGCTGTTTTCGCCTCTTCCTAAACCGTTCTTTTCCATGTTTTCTTTGGCCGGCCCACCCTCATGTTTCCCTGGGGATTCCAGTCCAAAGCATGTTTTGGAGATGTTTTCTTTTTATCTTCTTTCAAACAGCTTTATCTCTAGCGGTAATTCAACAAAATTTTAATTTTCTTAAATATATTTATTTTAAACATTTAACATAAAAATAATTTATTTTGTAGTTTTATACCGTTTCAAAGACATGAACATAAATTGTATGTATGGTAATTACACGGAGAAGATAAAATGGCACAAGAAGTAGCATTAAATAGGGTGTGCAACTTTGTTTCGTTTGACTGCTTGCTTTACTCTCTACTGTTGCCCCATCTACGGCAGTGAAGCCCAACATTGATATTGTGGCTTACCATGGAGACAAGCAAAAACGACCGTAAGAAAAGTGTTAGATGAACGAGCTCAATTATGAGGAATACACTACCGCAACCTTTTGAGACGGAAGAGCCAAAAGTTACAATTTTCAACATTTCCCAGTTTTTAAAGAGCCACTAACATTTTTATTTCAATATTTGATTATTTGATTAGGACTAGGTAAATAATTGTGATTTGTTATTTAAAATAAATAGCTTTAAATGAGAAATCATATTTATTCATAAAAAACATACACATGTTTCGCCAGAATAATAAACTTAGTAATCAAATAATATAACTATATGGGACTATCCCAATCTACTTTAGAAGCTGTTATCTTTTTTTTTTTCTTTCATTTACGGATATCACCGGCTAAGGGGGTGTCCGCCACTAGCCAGGCAGCCCTCAACACGACAAACTTCTTCTATTTAGCTTGAATATCGGTTTTATAACAGTTTATCGGTCGCTTCTGTCCTTTGGTTCTCACCAGGCTTATCTTCCACCCCATTAAACACAGGGTAGGCTCGTACCCATAGTCCAGTACCCGGCTCAACAATAGGAAGCTTACATCTTAAAAAAAAAAAAAAAAAAAAAAAAAAAAAAAAAAAAACCGTCACTCAGGTCAAATTAATGATTACTGACACATATGCATTCTGAATAAAATAACATTCCCATTTAAAAACATTCGAAAAAGTCGGCACTTGGGCTGTGGCAAGCATGGGGTTGTTGCCACGGGGCTGTGGGGCTGAGCCTGGTGCCCAAGCTGCTGTCAGCTGTCTATATACTATTCTCACTGTTCTTTGATGAGTGTTTTAATTCTGTTTTATTTTTCTTTACATTATGATATTAGTTTCGAGTTTGAAAATAAAATAACTAATAATATCTATGCAAGGATCTGGAAAGCCGCCGTATGTAGCCAGACCCTGTAGTGAAGTGTAGCATCGGCATTATCATAAAATTTTAGCATGATTTTAAAATTATTTCAGATAGTTAGAGGTGGTACTTTTTAAATTGTATTAAATTTAAATTTTTGGCAATCATGCATTTTATAAACTAGTCTAGAACCACATTAAAACAATTTTTATTTTAGTTTTCTTATTTAAAAAATCTCCATTTTGTGCTTAAAATTTTTATAAATGCATAGTTTTAAGGATAATTATCATGCACAAGTAGATTGTCTCCCTTAATGCTTTAAAGTATACTTGTAAGCAGCAAACTGTGATTTCTGTACAATGCGAAATATGTTTTTATTAATTTGACAAAATTGTATGAAATAAATATGTGGTGGATTCTGTCAACAGGCTGTAGTCATCTGTTTACTCTGACCCCTACAAACCGATCTGTCACGGTTACCACGCCTGGGTTCGAAACACAACGGGAACCAAACAGAAGATGTTTTTACAGCTTTAATGTAAATCAAATTTTAATTTACTTTCTATATAAACTTAGCCACTTTGAAATATTAGGTATAGAAATCAACAATTTTATTTTTAAAGTACACGTTTTAGACGATGAATGCAGGTGAAGTAGAGTTTCAGGTTTTTCTTATATATATATATATATATATATATATATATATATATATATATATATATATATATATATATATATATATATATATATATATATATACTAGCGTACCCGTCCCCCGCGCGTTGCCGCGGGGTAGAAGTAAGTTTGACGAAATGTATTAGGATTTCAGCAACGCGTTACCAATTATATGTTCTTAGACGCGTGACCGTCTTTTCTAAAAGTGAGTTATTTAAATGTAAACAATGCCTGCGCTTAAATCATAAATATCGGGACACAGGTTTACCTACACTACCGCATGTAAACATTGAGTGTACATTAATCACTCACCGAAATAATGTTAGAACACACTTCGGTGACCGCCCATGTGTCAGAGACGCACAGGGGCGCTCTCAGAGCCCCCCCCCCCCCCCCCCGATTACACTACCGCATAGGCGCAGCGTACGACCCCTGGCTCCTTAAACTAACAGGCGCCATCGTCAAAATAGCATCCTATTAATAATGATGCAGATTTCGTCATTCGCTAAAGTGACACAAATGAACAGGATTTTTTTCTTTAACACGTAAAAAAGTATTTAACGTGTTTTAAACATCAGTGTGACTGATGCAATATGCTAGCGTTACTAATGGTCTATTATTAGAAGCTCGATCTCACTTTTTGACTGGCTTGTCTAATAGTAGATGCTTATTGCATCATTCGCAAAGTGACGAAACTCTACAGTAGGCTCCTCATATTCAAAAAGTTATTTTTTTCCTTCTTTGGCAAGGTGACGAAACTGCACTGAAGGATTTCCTCGCGTTACAAAGTTATTTTTAGAAGCGTGTTGTAGTTTTACCGCTGAATATTATAGTACCCCTTTCTCGCAATGCGGGACGCTCGATTAACGGATGCTAAGTGCCAACATAGTCGCTCTAAAACTCTGGGCGCCAAACCGTGTATTGACGAAAGTTGTACCCTATATGGCGCCGCCCATAAGAAATGTTAGTTTTCTTTTTCGCAGAAATATTCTCGGGAGTATTCTCATCTACTCCCTAAAGTTTTATGGCACTCGGATGAACCGCATCCGAGTTTTATTTTTTATATACCGTGTATAGAGGAAAAAAAATCGCTCCCCCCCCCCGGAGGGCGCCGCCCTTGCAATATTAAACAATATATTTTTTTTGCAGAACCTTACTATTGAGTGATCTAAACATCTCCCCAAAGTTTCATGGTACACGGATGAACGGTGCGAACCGAAATAGACTTTTATATTTATAAACCGTATATAGAGAAAAAAATCGCAGCAGAGTTTCTTCCAGGCATCCCTTCGGGGGGGGCGAAGCCCCCCCCCCCCCCGAAAATTTTTTACCACCCCCCCCGAACGAAATGAAATTTATATAATTTATATAGAAAATATATACTTTTAACAGTGTCCGCCCCCCCGAAGAAAGTTTACCGCCCCCCGAAGATTTCAAGTGCCCCCCCGGAGAAAAAAGTCTGGAAGAAACACTGAATCGCAGCCTCCCGTGGCGCCGCCCTTGCGAAATTTAAAAAGGATTTTTTTTTTACCGAACCCTTCTTTGAATTGTTCTAATTAACTCCCCCAAAGTCTCATGGCTATCGGATAACGGTGTCACACTAAAATCGACTTTTATTTTTATATACCGTATATAGAGAAAAATCGCACCCTCCCGTGGCGCCGCCCTTGCAAAATTAAAGATGATTTTTTTACAGAACCCTTTCCTAGAGTTTTATAATGAACTCCCCAAAGTTTCATGCCTATCGGATGAACGGTGTCACTGCGATTCACTTTTATTATTTTTATATACCGTATATAGAGGAAAATCGCACCCTCCCGTGGCGGCGCCCTTACGAAATTAAGAATTTTTTTTTTAACAGAACACTTTCCTAGAGTGTTCTAATAAACTCCCTAAAGTCTCATGGCTATCGGGTGAACGCTGTCAAACCAAAATCTACTTTTATTTTTATATATCGTATAAAAAAACAAATTGCGCCCTGCCGGGGCGCTACCCCTGCGAACTTGAAAATGTTTTTTAATGCAGAAACCTCCCCAGGAATATTCTAAACATCTTCCCAAAGTTTCATGGCGATCGTGTGAACGGTGTCACTGTAATTCACTTTTATTATTTTTATATACCGTATATTGAGAAAAATCGCACCCTCCCGTGGCGCCGCCCTTGCGATATTAAAAATGATTTTTGTACAGAACCCTTCCCTAGAGTGTTCTAATATACTCCCCAAAGTTTCATGCCTATCGGATGAACGATGCCAAACCAAAATAGACTTTTATTTTTATATACCGTATATAGAGAAAAACAAATCGCGCCCTGCCGGGGCGCCACCCCTGCGAATTTGTAATTATTTTTTTCGCAGAAACCTCCCCAGGAATATTCTCAACAACTTCCCAAAGTGTCACGGCGATGTGATGAGAGGTGTAGTAATGCATAAAGGACAAACACACAAACACACAAACACACAGACACACAGACATACATTGCTTTATATATATATATATATATATATATATATATATATATATATATATATATATATATATATATATATATATATATATATATATATATATATATATATATATATATATATATAAATATTTTAGCAACGTACCAAGCCACCTTTACTTTCCCTGACTTGATCTGGGTACTCTTTAAAGCTGAGTTTATTTTTTAAAAATATTACGAACTCGACCCCCCCCCCCTTAACCGCTTTGTGATGAGCGCACGACAGCTTCTCCACTTAAACTGACACCTTAGATACAATTTTTTTTCTAACATGAAAATATGTAAACTCGTTTATATCGTTGACAAAACCCTAGCCCAAACCCTAGGTCATTATAAAGGTATAAATATTTTCTAATAGGAACAGTTTGATCAATAAGTAATAAGCAATAAATATTTTCTAATAAGAACAGTTAAGTAAATGTTAAACAGCATCTTTTATACATCTTGTAATGCAGGTACCGCCCCAATCCAAACTGAGGCTGACCTTGAACAAGTTTGACCTTCACGACAACGACGAGTTTATGATCAAACGTTTTCATCAGTGGCAGGATCCGTACAGGTAAATTCTATGTCACGTATCAACATAGATGCGACCCGTACAGGTAAGTTCTAGGTCACGTGATTACATTGGTAGGACCGTACAGGTAAGTTCCTTTTCACGTGTCAACATTTATAGGACCCGTACAGGTAAGTTCTAGGTCACGTGTTAACATAGATAAGACCAATACAGGTAAGTTCTAGGTGACGTGTCAACATAGAAGAGACCCATACAGGTAAGTTCTTGGTGACGTGTCAATATAGATGAGACCCATACCGGTAAGTTCTAGGTGACGTGTCAACATAGATAAGACCAATACAGGTAAGTTCTAGGTGACGTGTCAACATAGAAGAGACCCATACAGGTAAATTCTAGGTGACGTGTCAACATAGATAAGACCAATACAGGTAAGTTCTAGGTGACGTGTCAACATAGATGGGACCGTACAGGTAAGTTCTAGGTGACGTGTCAACATAGATGGGACCCGCACAGGTAAGTTCTAGGTGACGTGTCAACATAGATGGGACCCGCACAGGTAAGTTCTAGGTGACGTGTCAACATAGATGGGACCCGCACAGGTAAGTTCTAGGTGACGTGTCAACATAGATGGGACCCGCACAGGTAAGTTCTAGGTGACGTGTCAACATAGATGGGACCCGCACAGGTAAGTTCTAGGTGACGTGTCAACATAGATGGGACCGTACAGGTAAGTTCTAGGTGACGTGTCAACATAGATGGGACCCGCACAGGTAAGTTCTAGGTGACGTGTCAACATAGATGGGACCCGCACAGGTAAGTTCTAGGTGACGTGTCAACATAGATGGGACCCGCACAGGTAAGTTCTAGGTCACGAGTCAACGTTATAGGACCCGTACAGGTAAGTTCTAGATCACGTGTCAACATCGTCATGATCCTTACAGGAAAATAAAATATTTCACTTTTTTTAAACGCCACCTGTAAGTAACTACAACACCGCCTCCTTATATTTGGTGTGTCCTATACAAGTAAATTACTTTACATGAAAACGTGACTCGTTAATTTACCCATTATTTACAGCCGATACACGTGGATCCAGTTTCTTATGAGGTATCATTGCTATTATATTTTATCTCTCATTACTATTGATTTATAATTCTAAAGTTAAATATGGTAATTTTTTTATATTTACATTATTATGCAGATATTGCTTTATTCAGAAGCAAAATCTATTTTTTTTGCAAGTGCATTTAGTCTATAATTACTGTTGATTTATAATTATAATGTTAAATACGGTAATAAATTGTATTTAAATTAGTATACAAATATTAGTTTATTTAAAAGCAAAATCAGTTTTTTTCTCTATATTAACCACAGTTAACTTTAAATGCTAAGCCCCCCCCCCCCCCCCCCGAAAAATGTTTACCCCCCCCCCCCCCACCAATAGAAATGAAATTTATATAATTTATATAGAAAATATATAGTTTTAGCAGTGTCCGCCCCCCCCCCGAAGAAAGTCTACCGCCCCCCCCCCCCCCCCCCCGAAAATTTCAAGTGCCCCCCCCCCCCCCAGAGAAAAGTCTGGAAGAAACACTGCACGTTATATTCGTACCTTCGTGATGCTATATGTATTTATGTACAAAAACGTATTTCAAAGACCGTTACTTTTGTATAGAATCGTGGGTGAGGTCAAACCTGATCTGCTGGTGAGTGAGGGCGACTACTTGTCGTTACAGTACTGGGCATCATGGGAAAAAACTAACAAGAAAGGAATCAACTTTACCGTTGATATTGTGCTTGGTAAATAGTCTGGTTTTCTCTGTATTTTATTTCATTGTGTTCTTAATATACGTACACATCCTACTCCATATAAACAGTGTAATTTCCTAGGGCTACGTTTCAGAGGCGTAGCGACCCTTCCCGGCGCCCGGCGCCCGGGGACAAACTTTCGATTTGCACCCCCCCCCTAGAACTTTTCAATGCACCCCCCTCAAACTTTCGATTAGGCGCCCCCCCCCTAAGGTCGGCGCCCGGGGACATATGTCTCCGCCCCCCCCCCCCTCGCTACGCCTGTGCTACGTTTAGTTTTCTAACAACTTCATAAGAGCAAAAAAAAATATGTGTATTAAACAGCCGAGGAGATGTGTTACGATGTGGCGACAAAAGGGGCAGACTACTACGGTGAGAAATCTGTTACAGAAACCTTCGAGCCTTGTGTCCCTTGGGAGAAAGCCACATCTTGTGATGACTTCCCCTTTGATGGGTAGGTGCAGAAATTATGTTTGACAGGTGTAAGTCGATGTACTATAACAATTAAAACAACTTTCATATAGATTTGTTAATATACACGCTTTACCAAATACGCATTATTAAAATGAATAAGTTCATATTGTAAATAACTACCACATAATACAAAGTGTTGAATAATCAGCCATTACATTTTTAAATCTTACCAATGTCCGTCCCCCCCCCCCCACCAAAAATAAAACCAGAATTAAGAAATCACATTTTTGTCACCGACAGTAATCTATTCTGTTATCCCCAAGTAACAAATATGCTCAAAATGAAACAAACTTAAATAAACATAATCAGTTGCGTAGCGAGGGGGGGGGGGGGGGGGGGCGGCGGGGTGCGGACCGCACCGGGTGACACCATTTAGGGGGGGGTGACACCAAGGCAAAAATTAGCAAAATATATAGAGAAAAATGATAATTCCACTTAAGTGATTAATTCGAGTGTTAAAAAGTGTTTTAAGAGCACATTTGAAAAATCCCGACAAGGGCGGAGGGGTGCTGTAAATCAAAAGTTTGAGGGGGGTGCAAATCGAAAGCTTGAAGTTGGAGGGGGGGGGTGCAAATCGAAAGTTGGGGGGGGGGTGCAAATCGAAAATTGAAAGTGTCTGAGGGTGACACCATTAAGTGCCGCACCGGGTTACACCCGACCTCGCTACGCCACTGAACATAATTACATTTACAAATAGGTTTAAGAATTGATTTCAATACTCTTAGATTAAACGGGATTTCCCTGTTAGAAAGCGGAAGTAGCTGTAGAAATCCCGGCGGGTCTCTCCTTCAGCCTTGGTGTTATACTTTTGTCAGGGGCAGCGTTTGTCATAGACGGTACTGTGACGTCTGCAATATTCGTACGTATTTCTGCACTGAATAAAGTTAAGGCACTTTAGTATTTAGCATAGTGGTTTAATTATTGGCGTGTATCCGTTTATAACATCGAATTAAAAATTAAAAAAAAAACAGTATGTAAATTAAACCTACATTGATAATCAATACCAAACTGTGTTTAGTTGTAAAATAAATGTTTTGTTAAGTTTGTAAACATAGTATACTTACATTAAATCAGAGTTTCTTCCAGGCATCTCTTCGGGGATACCCCCCCCCCCCCGAAAATTTTTTACCGCCCCCCCCCCCCCCCCCCACCCCGGACGAAATGAAATTTATATAACTTATATAGAAAATATATACTTTTAGTAGTGTCCGCCCCCCCCCCCCGAAGAAAGTCTGCCGCCCCCCCCCCCCGAAAATTTCAAGTGCCCCCCCCCCCCCTCGGAGAAAAAATGTCTGAAAGAAACACTGCTTTAAATTAATAAGACATTTAGGTACCGATTACCATGTAAATACTTTTGAGAAGCAGATAATATGACATAAGTAAGGTATTATATAAAGCAATAGTGTTTCTTTCACTTATTTGTTTTTCTTCCAAGGAGGAGAGGGGGTCTAACACTTAATTGTCTGTGGGGGAATGGCAAAATTGATGTCTTAATGAATCATTAATTAGCACTAGTAAATGACAAAAAGAATACTGATCCAATAGAGAAAAGTTCTGATGTACTCAAGACGTGCTCTACACTGAAAACAACAGTCCCAGACTTTTGTAACACTGCCGTGGAACGGTTCGCTTGTTTTCAGACGTGTGGCCTCTCACAGCAGACGTACACACCAGGTAATGAATAAATACACTTTGACGTGTTCATTCCATAGCGTTCTTACCTACACACCAGGTAATGAAATCCACTTTGACTTGTTTATTCCATTGTATTCTTACCTAAACTTTTCTGATACCCTACGTGTTAGACAATGGCTACACAGTTTGAGATGAGCATTAGATAAGCAATAATGTATTTTTTTACACATGCGGATTTGATGGTCAAAATCTGTAACATTCTAATACATGGGAAAGCGAGCACTTTTAGCAGGAAAACTAATAATTTAAAACTAAACTCTAATATTTCAACAATTATTCAAAACATATGAGCTGAAAAGTGTTATTAATAGCAGTGTCAGTTTTGAGTTGTTGTACAATGTAGAAGTTGGGAGTTGTTGTACAATGTAGATGATGGGAGTTGTTATACAATGTAGATGATGGGAGTTGTTATACAATGTAGGTGATGGGACGACGTGGTCGTATTATAGAGCGTTTGTCTGCTAGCCTGAAGGTCTAGAGTTCGGATCTCATTTCTGACTCGTGTCAGTAGGATGTTTCTTAGTCCACCCAGCTATGATGGGTACCTGGCTTACGTTGAGGAAAATAAAGGTGGCTGAACATATCGCTAACCACATTATCTCTTTATATATCTAGTTCAAGAAAACATTCGAACTCTACTTCTGCCCCAAAGATCTCCAAGTCTAAAGAGTACTTTTAATTTGTTTGAATACTTTGTACAGCGACATGCAGCCCACCCAGCCTACCATCTGATGTGTACGCCGCTGGAGGATTAAAAAGTGTGTACAAGGAAGGGGAGGTAATCAACGTGACTTGTACAACTTCCGGTTCTTTTGTCAACACAATCAGATGTACCAAAACTGGATGGTCGGGTCAGGCTTTTACTTGTAACGGTAATAATTTTTAGGTTACTTTTGTGTGTGAATATTTGTATCACTACTATATTTAAAAAAATAATAATAATAATTTTTTTTTTAAATTTGAAATTGTGATAGAAACGAAGTGGAATTCATATATTGATATATGTGTTTTTAATCATCTTTTTCTCTCGAGAAAGAAAGAAAGAAAGATTACAACCGTATTTATGTGTAGGCTACATTTTTTAAAATATTTCAATTATTTTTGCAATATTTTAAGCTTAGCAAGTGTATTGATGGCGTGGTTGGGTGCAAGCAAATAGTCTATCAATGTAGCTTCATACACATCCTATTTATACGTGGATGGACGCACGCGTGCCAGTTTATTTAGCGCCCTAAGCAAAACTTATTAAACGCCCCCTTTCACACAAATTAATTACTAAAACATTTGTGTAAGAAAATAATTCATTAAAAGTGACGTATTAATTTATTATCAATTGCATACACGTTATATGTAGACATCGAAATCCAATTTTACTTGCCTCTTTCATCTCAAAAGTTTCTACTTATTCCTTCAATTCCAGTTTGCAAGCGTAATCACATGTTATTGATATTGTTGCTAAGTCCACGAGTCTACTTTGTACTTTACGACATAGCCCCCCCCCCCCCCCCCCCCCCAAAAAAAAAAAACCACTGAAAAAAATATTCCTGTAGTGTTGGGCTCTCTGCAGTCCTCCCAAGGTGAGTTCCAAAACAGAACTTACCTGTTTTAAGATTGACTGTCTTTAGTTATAATTGTAAAATGTCTATATTGTGTGATTATGTAACGATTTTTGTTTTGTTTTTGAAAGATAGAAGGTTATAAATGTTATAGATTCCAGCCTAAAATCGTTTATATATACGAATCCTTTAGGAGTGGGTGGAAAATATGAAAAGACAATTACTTAGGTGTTTAATTTACGACTAAGACTGCATGGGGTCGTCCATAAATGACGACACACTCGTAGGGGGGAAGGGGGGTCCGTAATTTTGTGACAGTGTGTGATCAGGGAGGGGGAGGGGGGTCAGATGGTGTGACACTTTTGCATTATAAAAAGCAATGTTAGAAAACGAGTTTTAGCCGTTATTTCGCGGTTTGAAAACTGTTTTAATAAATTGTAATAGGCATTGATCAAATTACTCTATGTTGACAGAGTTCTGACAAGATTTTGAAAATATCGATGTTTTAAGAAAAATTCAACAGCAATTTTGAGCGTGGTTGTAAGCTGAGGTGTGACGGCCCTTTGGGGGGGGGGGGGGGGGTCTGGCTTTTTGTGATGACGTGTGACGGAAGGGAGGAGGTAAAAATCGTCAAAAAGGCGTGACGTCATTTACGGATGACCCCTATGTCTACTAACATTAAGTATTGCAATCTACATCGGCTACTGATGTATTTGTTTTTCAACTTGATAATGCTAAGAAAAACCTACCAAACTATTTTGTTTAGAACTTCTCCTCTGTATAACTTTTACAATAGCAAATAATACATTAAAGTTGTGTTTATCTGTAAGCGGACAACCTAAGTTGCAGGAATTTGAAATGAATGTAAAGTTAGGCAACGAATTATCTCCCATTTGAAAATACAAATACCAAAATTTCTTTCAAGGGAAATGACTTTCACAAGAATAGCTAAATTAACCAAGTGTAACTAAGGCATGCTTGAAAAACACAACAAAACGCTTTAAATTTCAATACCTAATAATTGTAATAAATATTTCATATTATCTATGTAACCTTGTAAAAACAATATATTTTACCTGTTGAATACTTAACTGTATGTTTTGTTTGGAAGTCTAAAAGCGGTAGCTTTATTATAACATACTTCTATTCAAATTTAATGACATACTCTCAATTGTATTGCTCAAATATTCAAATTTATATAATTTTTAGATCTCCTATATAAAAGGACGCTAGAATTATTGATTATATATAAAATATATATTAATACTTTAAGAGTGGTAATATAGATTCCTACAAAACTAAAGATTTTTCAACTAAAGAACGCCCATCTTTCTTTGTAGTGTGTTCCGTACTGAATTGAAATCATCTAACTTACGATAAACTCGACTACTCGATATACTCTACTACATTCACAACACATATCAAACTTCGATACCTAAACGTAACTAGACTTGATGCTCCAGAACTAAGGCACCAACTCATTTAACTTCACCAAGCTCTACAAACGGTACTCGTAATCAACAACGATTTCACTGGACCTACTAATTTACTTTAACAGTCAATATAATTCGATACCTTAATACCTCAAGAATCAATACTCCCGAACTCCAGAACTACGAATCTTCATCACTTTCATTATCATGTCTCTACTGCTAATTAGATTCCACTAGACCGTCATCTACATAACAGCCTAATAAAAATTATGACACTTCAACACTTCGATACTTTATACCTAATAAACCATATCAGCAACAGTCTTCCGCCATTACTCCCAAATCTAAATGATTCATCAAAACTTACCAAACAAGTACAATACTATGAACACCCCGTCATTACAAAACTCTATACACAGGACAGATTTCTAATTCAAAGTCAGGGAAAACGAGACTTACATGCCCTTTTAAAATTAGATTTAAATTACGAACTTATTTAATCGTTTTCTACATTAATTATGTGACACCAAATTAAAAAGGCAAAGTGACTGGTAAATAGTGCCCCGACCTTTCTAAAATATGGAAGTGGGGTTGCATTTTCACCATCGCGAATAAATCTAGGCCTATATAGACCTAATTTTGGCGTGGTGTGCAAAATTGATAGTTTGTCCTGGGTGCCGAAATAGATCGCTACTCCTTTATAAAAGTTATTAATTATTAGGTACTTTTTTATAACAGCGATTATTAAACTTTTTGCGCCCCCCTAGGGATGACGCCCTAGGCGACCTCCTAGTTCGCCTTATAGGTAGCGCCTATCCTGGACGTAAAGTTATTGAGTAGAGCTTTACCAAATTCCTCTGACTGATTTCTTTTAGGCTGCCCCGAACACTGGTCTGTGTACGAAGACCGATGCTTCCGGTACTTCACTGCATGGGTCACCAGACGACAAGCTGAGCTCGTCTGTAAATCACATGACGTCACGGGGACGTTGTTCGAGGTTCGAACACTCGCTGATCAGGTCATGGTTCGGCAGTTCAAACAAAACGGCACCTCAGAGTAAGTAATGTCTGTGGGTTGTTATAAAGCAGTGGCGTAGCGAGGTCGCGTGTCACCCGGTGTGGCACTTAATGGTGTCACCCCCCAGAGGCGTAGCGACCCTTCACGGGAACAAACTTTCAAGTTTTCGATTTGCACCCCCCCCCCACAAGTTTTCGATTTGCACCCCCCCTCCAACTTTCGATTTGCAACCCTCCCTCCTCAAGTTTTCGATTTGCATCCCCCCCCCCCTTAAACATTCGATTTGCACCCCCCCTCAAGTTTTTCTCTATATAATTTGCTATTTTTTGCCTTGGTGTCACCCCCCTAAATGGTGTCACCCGGTGCGGACCTCACCCCCGCCCACCCCCTCGCTACGCCCCTGTTATAATGTTCTAAAGAATGTGTCGATCTAAACCTAGATGCGGTTTCTTTTTCAATGATGTATTGTGTACTAGCTCTGACTTTATAATTTAGTAATTTACCATAGAATGTTTTGTTTCCGATTTTGTTCTTTTTGTGTATAACATCAATTCCGAATCACATCCTCTTACATAGTATTTTCAGTTACATAAATAACCACTGTAGTGAAAGTAAAATTGTATAATTTGTAAGACTGACTTTCAGGTATCACCATGGCAACTGAAGTAACATTAAAATTATATAACGTTTTCGCCTGACTTCCAGATATCACCAAGGCAACTGGATTAGTGGTCAACTTCAGTCTGACGATGGGAAATGGCTGTTCGACTCCGGCAATGTCATGAGCTACTTTAATTGGTCATCTACAGCAGGTATCAATAGGCTAGTAAATAAACCTGCCAGTTGTAGTTTACGGATTACAGTTCAATAAAAAATATTCAAATTTTTTTTTCAAATAACATTTTGAAAACATATTTATTTTAATACTTAAAATATCCATTGTGAATTTGCTTTATTGGCATATATAAGTTACACTTTTAACTACAATAAAAAAGAAGTGCAAGTTCATAAGAGTTGATTTTTGTGTTAACAGAAGCTACAAGTATCATTATCTTTTCCCGTTCGTGCATAATACACAGTGGGTACATGAAGTAAAGTTTCCCTGTTTTAGAGATTTCAGAATATTAAGAAATGGTGTGATCAACACTATGCCCAGTCACATTTGTTTTCCCATTTAGGGTTTCAGTGGACTGAGGGAGGTTTTAATGTCTTGAACCCGGACTCGAACTCGAGACTTTCCTGGTTAGCAGTCTAGCTATCTACCGCTAGGCCAAGCTGTCCCATGTACCAAACTTACAGTTGATTGTTTTTGTTGACAGAAACCGCGAGTGTGTTACAAATGTTTCAAGCTAACAGTTTGTTGTTTGTGTTAACAGAAAAAATGTGTTAACAGAAACCATCAATATGTCTTACAAAAATGTGTTAACAGAAACCACCAATATGTCTTACAACTGTATCAAGCTAATAGTTGTTTGTGTTAACAGAAACCACCAATATGTCTTACAACTGTATCAAGCTAATAGTTGTTTGTGTTAACAGAAACCACCAATATGTCTTACAACTGTATCAAGCTAATACTTAGTTGTTTGTGTTAACAGAAAGCACCAATATGTCTTACAACTGTATCAAGCTAATACTTAGTTGTTTGTGTTAACAGAAACCACCAATATGTCTTACAACTGTATCAAGCTAATACTTAGTTGTTTGTGTTAACAGAAACCACCAATATGTCTTACAACTGTATCAAGCTAATACTTAGTTGTTTGTGTTAACAGAAACTACCAATATGTCTTACAACTGTATCAAGCTAATACTTAGTTGTTTGTGTTAACAGAAACCACCAATATGTCTTACAACTGTATCAAGCTAATACTTAGTTGTTTGTGTTAACAGAAACTACCAATATGTCTTACAACTGTATCAAGCTAATACTTAGTTGTTTGTGTTAACAGAAACCACCAATATGTCTTACAACTGTATCAAGCTAATACTTAGTTGTTTGTGTTAACAGAAACCACCAATATGTCTTACAACTGTATCAAGCTAATACTTAGTTGTTTGTGTTAACAGAAACCACCAATATGTCTTACAACTGTATCAAGCTAATACTTAGTTGTTTGTGTTAACAGAAACCACCAATATGTCTTACAACTGTATCAAGCTAATACTTAGTTGTTTGTGTTAACAGAAACCACCAATATGTCTTACAACTGTATCAAGCTTATCGCAGAATACCAGGGGTTCCATGAGCAAGGTGGTTGGCGCACCATGGCGTGTAACAGCACGGAGCCTGCCCCGTATATGTGTCAAGTGGACAATTCATGTAAGTTTTAAAACAGTTCATGTGACAGCGAATATCTGTAAACTCACTTGGGCAGCCCACATAAATCTTAATACAGTTCATATGACAGCGAACAAATAAAGGCAGATGAGTATTAATACAAGTCGTATGGAATTAGATAGACAAGCGGGTGCCAATACAGGATTCGCACTTACCCGACCAGGCCTAGAAGATTTCTGGTGGTGGCAGGAAAATGTTAAGAGAAATCCATCAAAAATAAATATAAATTTACAAAGACAAGTATGTTTTGTTTACGTTTTGGACATGGCTAGTTTAGAATGTCTCATGAGGTTTGTACAATCATCTTTTCATTTTAACATCGAATTAACCCAACCATACTCTAATCCATCCCCTATTCTGAACCTTAGTATTGACCTATCTAGCCCTGATTAAAACACCGACCGTTACCATAACCACGTTCCAAACGTTAAAACTACCTGGACGTGAGAGACTGTGGTGCCATTTTGATATTCCTAAGGGAGCGATTGATTTTCTATTCACAATTTCAGTATCCAGGGCGTGCAATGATAAAGTTCCAACCTGCAAGAAAGTTCTGGAAACTTACCCGGCGTTCTGTACAGATAGCAGAACGGCAAGGTCTCGAGACGTGTACTGTAGGAAGACGTGTGGTCACTGTCCAGGTGTGTACACGCGACAGGTACAATTGTATGGTCTTAATACCACACGTAATCACGTGAGAATGTATATGTTAATTAAGTGTGTACTCCATAACTCAAATTGTTAATAGAAATTGTGTACAAGCTATAGGCCCTACCTAAGAAAGTTTTACAGAAAGTCGGTAGACGATTCACGTGAGAATGAAAAGAGCCAGTAATAGACATAGAGTATTAAATTATCGTAACATTCCTAATTACTTCTAAGGAACCACATAAGCTATTTTTAAGCTAAACATACGCACATTTATCCATAACCCTGACCTTTTTGCGTTTATGTAAATGAGGCTATAGTATGTGTATTTTATATACATTTAATGCCGATTGAATAATATAATAAAGTGAAACGTACTTATTAAAATAAATTTCAATTAGTTTCTTCGAGCTCTCTTATTTAAAATTTGTTTTTTTTTAAATTCCCTTTTGATTGTGAGTCTATAGGAGGTAGCCAGTGCTCTGATCCCATGGGGACAACTTATACCAGGACATCTCAATCAGCTGTTATCTCCCCTGGTCAGGTCATGAACTTCACCTGTCAGGATCATTTATATCACGTGGGTGGTGACCTGCAGAGGGCGTGTTCCACTTCCGGTACCTTGTTGGGATCCGAACCCGTATGTCTAGGTGAGACAGTCACGATCTTGGCAAAGTTGTTGTGAAAAGAAAGTTTGATAAGCCTGTTTTACCTCGAGGTTATCACTTAGAATCCTTCAATAAATGAACGTCCACCACGAGGTAAAGTGGTGGACGTTCAAAGGAAAAAGACACTTGAGTGCGCATTATAGGGCTGGTAAGTAGGTCACCAACCAGTTATATGGCACATGCAGGTTTTATTGAGCCGTAGAACTGGTTGGTGACATACTTACCAGCCCTAGAGCGAAGCTGAATCGTATCGACAGCATCAACCGTAAGCTACCTACAACAATTTGTGAGGTTTAAATAGCTCATCATCTATTAAGCTATTTAAACGACATCTTATCAAGTTTTTTTCAAAATTTGTTTATGTTCGTAAAATCTAAACATATGACTTACGGTTTGATAAACGAAAATATACGCAGTTATATTTGTATATCTTTTGTTTTTAAAAATACTTTTCACTCATTCGCGGTCAATCACAAATAAAGTTACATAGTTTTTTTCTAATCTATTTAACCCTTTTGTGCCGTTTGCTGCATTTTAATATATATATTATGTTTTTGTGTCGCATTTGTGTGTGTGTGTGTGTGTGTGTGTGTGTGTGTGTGTGTGTGTGTGATTTTTATCAAATCCACCTTATACACACCTTTGTATCATTTTCGTCTAATTCACCTGATAAACACATTTTTTGTCATGATTGTCTAATCCACACTTAAATATCGTTTGTGTCATTCTCGTCCAATCCACCTTATAAACACATTTGGTGTAAATTTTGTTCTAATCTACCTTATAAACACCGCTTGTGTCATCTTTGTCTAATCCACCTTCTAAATACTGTTTGTGTTTGCTTCTTTTTTTGTCCCATTCATCTATAAAAATACTGTTTGTGTGATTCTCGTCCAATCCACCTTTTCAATGCCATCTATGTGTGTCTTGTCCCATTCAGACTGTCAGTATCTTCCTGGCACCGTGTCATACTTATAAGTTACTATGATAGTGATTTTAAATGCAATAATTAATTACAGCCACACCAAAAGCTATGGACCTCAAGTTAGAAACAATTCGAGCAAGATCGGGCACTCTTGCACCAAACATTGCAATACTGCTGGACAAAGATGGTTACAGGTTTGAAGTTTAAACTCGGCCGTGATTGTAATAAAATTATGTCGCAACTGTTACAATTTTTACAAGCTTTTATTTAACTCACTTCCTCGTCAGTCTGTCTGTCTGTCTGTCTAAATCGAAACGCCAGAGCGAAATTGCAGGCACTTCTGATTGACAGATACAGTTCGTAATTGGTACATGGGTCAAGACATGAAGACAATGCATCGCGACATTCAATTTGACATAATTGGTCGCCTAATTATTTTTTATGAATTAATTAATGTATTGTGTTTATGAAAGTAAAGTTAAATATTTTGGTGGAACATGGATATATATCAAAGAATGATGTTTATATTTTCAGGATACCATTCAATGGTAAAGTAACTAGATGGTATTATTATTGTAAAAGCTCCGGCATTGTCAACTTTATTGTCTTTAGAAGATCCGGGTAAGCCAATAGTATATCAAGCAGTATCTTTAGTTGTGGTCCGTAGGAGTTAATTAAACAATAGTGTAATTAGTTTCTTTAGTCTAATTAAATAGTTAATACCTTGTCTGATGAAATTTTTAATTAATTGTCTTATCAACAGAGGCGTAGCGAGGGGGGCGGCGGGACATATGTCCCCGGGCTCCGACCTTAGGGGGCGCCAAAATGGGTTGGAAAAATAAATTGAAAGCTTTAGGGGGGGTGTAAATCGAAAATTTGAGAGGGGGGTGGTGCGAATCGAAATCTTGGGGGGGGGTGCAAATCGAAAAATTGTCCCCGGACGCCGGGAAGGGTCGCTACGCCTCTTCTTATTAAATGTCTAAAAAATATCTGATTAAATGTTTATGAAACAGTATATTTAAAACTATTAAAAAATCTAGCAATCGAATTTATTATTAAATGTCATATTATTATTACAAATATGATAAATAAATATATTGTAAAAGATTATATCCTAAACCCCAAAGCTAATGTCTAAGCTTTTGTTTTATTGAATGTATATTTACATTTCTAATAAAATATCCTATCAAAAGCCTAATCATTAAATGTCAATATAACTGTCTAAATGAATGTCAAGTTAAATTAACTAATTAATGTTTTTTTATATCTAAATACGTTTTCATTGCAGCTCTGTCTACACGTTCGTTGGTTCCAACACGGTGAATTGTGAGCCGGAATGGATTCGAACCTACAACGTACCATTAGCGAATCAGATCGATGTTTTTCAGGTTAGTATGCCAACTTTTTGTTCTGACTACATGTTGAACCTAGCAAATAGTTAGACGATAGTGTTGGGGTTGGATAAGTAGATACACGCCAATGTAACGAACTTGTATAACAAAAGTAAAATTATTCATAACAAATGAATTAAACCTTTTTTGTTTTCCAATAATAAGAACACGATAATAAAACTTCATGAAAAGTTCTAGAAACCCTATCAATATTCATTGGTTAAATGTCTGCATTACAATGATTTTATGCTATCTGTGTCTCCAGCATAAAAAAGTAAAATACTTTGAAGTTATAAGGTTTCGTAAAGCAACTAGATCGAATTATTTATCAAAATGTTTTAAAATCATACGTTTATTTCAACAAGTTTTAAATGCGCTTCCTATCGATAAAATTTCATTTTTTATTAAGTATTTACGTTTAGTAGATTAAACCATTAAAAAAAATACTTCTAGTATAATTTTATTGTTTATATTAAAGCCATTGATAGGATATAAGTACATGCATGAGTATGGCTTGTCTTATGTTTCACCCAGAACGATGTGTACGGCGTCTACACGCCCAACAAAACTACACTCAGCATTAGCGACTGTGACACAGCTTACTTGAAGGTCATGACCTTACCAGCCACGAATGTCACGTCCTTGGCTGACCTTAGGTCAAGTAGTGGTGTGCTGTTTCAAGGAAACAAATGTGCTGTCCCCTCACTTGGTCTTCGTGTTGAGCCTTAGCGTGGAATAGGGCAGTAGCTTCACACGGAGCCCTATCTTCATATGAAGATTTTAATTTATGTGGAGCTTTAGCGTGGAATAGGGTAAAAGGTTCACACGGAGCCCTATCTTCATACGAAGCTTTTAATTCGGTTAGAGCAATAGCTTCACAAAAAAGTTAACCTAGTGTAGCCCTAGGTTATAGATTAATGTTATTGGATAAAATGTAAATATAATAATTTCATTATAAAACATGGTGTCTTATTGTATTGATGTGTATAGTTTTCCAGGGAGAGAGATGAGAAGTGGAACAAGAGAAAACTGGGACATGGAAGTATTGCGGTAATGTGGACCAAAATTTTAATGTACCCACATAAAACGTAAAACTACACGCAAACTTATATTAACAACTTCCTTCTCTAACCAGATATTTGTTAGTTTGACATGCACTGAGAGATGCCTAAAAAGAAGTACTTAAAAAAACAAGCTATTAGTAATATTTTCTGGCACTATTCTTTGTTTAGAATATCTTTCTTGGTGTTCTATGCCATTGAAAAAAATTATTATGTCTCTATGTTCTTAAAGTCATCGTAAGAATTATGCTCTGTAGTACTTGAAAATGTTTGTTTTCAAATAACCTAGTCATGAATATGCCTTTTAAAAAATGTAATTCATTAAAGAGATACACAAGACATTCACGTCTGATAGAAAGAATCGATTACCGTCATACAGTGATATTGTTAAGTGCTTATATATATATATATATATATATATATATATATATATATATATATATATATATATATATATATATATATATATATATATATATATATATATATATATATATATATATATATATATATATATATATATATATCATACATATATATATGTATGAAATTTCATATATAAGTATTTTGTTAAAATCGTAGATCCTGATCAACGTTTGAGCAATTTCCGATAACCGGAAGTGGTACTTTTTCTACTTTGAATTTTTCAAAAGCCTATAACTTGAGTACTATTTCAGATAGATAAATGAAATTTCAACTGTAAGTTAAATATCCAATGCTCTACCTTCTATCAAATTTTGAGTAATTTCCGTTGATCGGAAGTACTAATTTACGCTATTTCCGATTTCACAAAAAAGGCATGTAAATTTATAAAGTACTAATAATATTGCACACTATTATGCACATTTTGTTTTGGCGTTCGCTTGGTGCGCAATTTTTTTTCTACTAGATTCTATTCTGTTTTTAAAAATTTAAGTAAACAAAAATCATGTCTATATTCCGAGTTGCCATCCCACGTAGTGTTATATTAGAATATTCGAG